CACTTATAACGCAATCTTGTGTTTTTACTTTTTCTATTTCTATAAAATGCCACATCACAGCTACTTAAATTTTTCCTTAATCCATCAGGGACGATGCACCACAGCAGTAATCCATGGCCACCCACATTACAATTCAGGATAAAAATACGGAAATTAGACTATAAAAACCAAATGTATAAGACAGCAAATAAAACTAAAATCATAATGTAAATATAAAACAACTCCAATGGTACATTATCAGTATCATGGTACTAGAACAAAATTTAGAAAGATAATATTACCTCCAGTTGCCTGAGGCTGCTCATATTCTGTGAGGTTCCTGCGGTAACAAGTGACTGTGAGGAAACTGTTTCACCACTTCCATTAAGGCGTTTCAAGAGTAGTTGACTCATGTTTCTAGCTTCTGCAGCCTTATTCAGTGCATCTTCAGTGGCCAGAAATTGTTGCACATGTGCTTTCTGATGGACAAATATTATCCCACGTATAAATAACGCATATATAAATAATAAAGGAAAAGCAGGATATTCTGAAGGTTTTGGTTGATGCATGCAAGTGCTAAGGCACCATATCTATACTAGAGAAACTGAATTGAGGGGAAACAAAGCGTAATCATAAATGAAATTAAGAGCAGCAAATAAGTAAATATGTAATTTCATTCCCTAGGTTGCAAAGACGTCAGGGATAAGAGCAAGAAAAGAGAATACAAATATGTGGAAGAATGGAAAAAATCAACACAACAGTGGTTTACGCGAAAATATACCTGCCTCTCCAGAAGTTGATTTTCATTGCCCCTTGGAGGAGCATCGCCTCCGAGCTTTCCATTACCATAAATATGATAATGTAATGGTGAGCTTGTAACAGCAGAAGAAGCTTCAATTATTGTGTCGTTCTCGTACTTATACCTTCATCGACAGAGAGCAAAAATAAACAAATAATATGCAAAAGGGAGTAGCAAGCCAATTCAAGCTGCATGTGAAAAAATTGTATTAAGAACTGGCACAACACTAAGCTCATTTTCCATATAAGAAAGTGTTCACCAAATATATTAGGCAAAAAAGAAGTGCATGCATTTGAGAGGAGGAATAGTAGTTATTGGCGAGAATTACCTTAATGCTTCTGCATCAGCCCTAACATCAATTTTTTCAATTTCTCTAGTGATTAAAGTTCTTAACCGTTGGGTATAAGAAGTGATTGCTTGCAATAAATAAGGAGGGCTTTTAAGACATTCGATTATCACATCTTTAATCTCAGCAGGTAAATCGCCATCAATATCAATGCCCAATTTTGCGGCTTCCAGTTCCGGATTCGCGTGGATCCCCCCTCCTTCATAAGCTGGAAAAGAGCTACGAATTTTTTCAGACATCTGCATTGCAAGAGATTCACAGACTCTCCTGATATTTCTTTCCCTTGATGTCTCGATAAGAATGGCATCGTCCGCAGATTTGCTGCCTTTGACAGTCGAATACAATTCCTTCTCACTATTTGCAGAGAAGCTCGTCACCAATTCACTAGATGACGCGCTTATGCTCGATCTCTGTGCATCCCTAGCTTGGTTGACATAGTTGCAGAGACGTTTATGGTACTCGGCAAAAATTTTTGCTGCTTCATCACACTGTTGATCATAAGCCTCCAACATTACTTGCTTGTGCCTGTAAGCAGAGAAACAACGTGTTAAGTACACTGTTTGGGAAGATTTGTAAAATGATAGCCATCTGCCTCTTATACAATGCCAATACATATAATAAAAGTTTTTCTTCAAATTGATAAATACAATATATAACTTTCAGATTAAAGCACAAAATGGCTACTGCATTTACCTAACCAGGCTCCACAATTTCTATGGCATTGAGGATCACACCTTTACTGTCAAACTTAAATATCCATTAACTATAGATTATGTTATCTGTAAACTCAGTTTTTCGCATCTATCTGTCCAAGTCCATTAATAACCATCTTAGATCACATCTTCAACTAGAACAAATCATTCAATTCGTAGGAAAAAACATAAAAAGAAAAAAGTCAAGAAAAGAGGAAGAATGAGAGAGAGAGAGAAAAGATAAAGATTTAATGTCGAAATGATCATATTGACCTGTAATTTGAACGCTCATCAAGCATGCGCTTGCGCTCAGCCTCCTCCCTCGAGACCTCAATCATCCTAGCCTTCAACTCCTTGCGCTGCCGCCTCACAATCTGCCTCAACCTCTCCACTTCCTTCTCCGCCAGCTCCCTCTCCTGCAATGCCATTTCTCTATTGCCGCCGGAGCTTCCCTCCTCCTTTCCCACTCCCAATTTCTCCCTCCTCCCTTTTCCAACATCATCCGCACCATGGACAAGAATATTCCTTCGAATGTTCTCCACAGTCTTCTCCGACTTCACCCTCTTGAGTAGAAAATTCCAAACGGGGATCATATTCCCGCGGCAGATCTTGCGAAGAGACTCTGCGGGGGGCACAACCGGCTTGGCGGAGGATGCGTACGGGCCGAGAGGCCTGTACCCCATTTCGTTCTGAAGCCAGTCCAGAATGGCCTCCGGTTGGGCCACCATGGCCGGTGAGCTCTGCATTGTGGAATTATACAAGTCTAGAGTTCGCTGCAGAAGATCTTCATGATGCTAAGCAAACCTAACCTAATTCGACATTAGTCGAACATCAGATCAGCTGAAAAATAATTCGTGCAGAGAAATCAACGGATCTACAAATACGAATTGAAGTGCCGAAAAAAAACTAACTGTGCATTATAGAGAATACAGTATTATAGTGCAAAATACAGAGTGAGGGATCAAAGAACTTACAAATAGAATTGAGAAAGAGAGAGAAAGAGAGTGTTGAAATTTGAAAGCGAGTTTGAACCAAATTGAGGTCTTTGTCAGTGTTTGTAAATACCGACCGGTTGAATTGGGAATCCATTACTTTAAAAACCGACCGCCAAAAATCGGGTCTAGCCAGTCAAAGATCGGCTGGTGGGACCCACTCAATTTATTTATTATTATTATTATTATTATTATTATAAAAATCAATTTTAATAATTTTAGATGTAATTTTTATATAATTAAAAATGCATGTTAAAATATATTGATTATGTATATGTTATCTCTATTTGTGTAGGCGAATGCATATTTTTAAATGAGTAATTGCAATTTAGTTATGTATGATTCAATTATTTTTGGGATATTCTTTCACGAATCGCAGCTTTGGAAATCGTCTCGTATCTACACCAAAAAGCTATAATGTTGTCCTCAACTTGCTGAAAATTTTGAAAGTGGTCGGATTCGGCCATGTATCATCCAGGTTGACCAAATTGGAGACGTTGAATTCTTGGGTCATTTAATTCAATAGTTTATAAACAAAAATGAACTAATATGCCACATTACTAACAATAAAACACACAATTATTAGAAAAATTAGAAAAAAAAAATAACTTAATAAAATATTCAGCCAAAGCAGCTCATGTATAAGAAGTGAGGTATTGTAATGTAGTAGTGGAAGCTGTCGTTTCGGCTTTTAACTTAATAAAAGAAGTGAAAATAGTTATTTTCACCCCGATCAGAAAACTAAATAGTTTTTACATACCGTCAAATAAAATGTTAACTTTTTTCACACCATAAAGTATTAAATAAATTACACGATAAACTATGCAACAGACAGGGTATCAAAGTTTGGCGTCGTGTAGTGCTCTGCTTATATAGTAAACGAGGTAATGATTGTGATTCTCTATTCGCATTACAGCCGCACTTACTGTCGAATTTGTAACAGTTAGGTAAATGTATAACATTTTTCCTAGTTTTGGTTTTTGCAAAATTAGAGCTTTGACTATTGTTTGATTCCTTCAAAATATTCTTGATAACTGGGGGTCTATCCAATTTTCTTTTTATTCTTAATGGCCTCGAAGAAAGGTTGCTCAATCAGAGGCGTGAGAGATAAATTTATTTAATGCAGTGAGTCGTCCTGTTTGACTTTGAATATTTTTATCAAACTTTTAGGTTTTAAGTCGAGGATGGCTTTGATTTTATTGCAGTTAGTCTAATTCCTCTTTAGCTAAGAATATAGCCTAAGAATTTTCTTGAGTGGACTCCAAATATTCCTTTTTTTTTTTGATTTAACACCAACAAATAATCGTGTAAAATTGTAAACATGATCAAAGACATAGATAGACTTCACTAGCATATCGTCTAAATAAACTTCTATTATGTCGCCTATCAAACTTGCAAACATTTTGTTGATGAGCATTTGTTAGATTGCTTACGCATTCTTGATTCTGAACGATGTCATCTTGTAATAGTACAGAACTCACACCAAATAGAAAGACGAGTGTTTTTCATCATCTAGATTCATGGGTATTTTATTATATCCTGAATAGGCATCCATGAAGCTCATCTGTTCATGCCCAAAAGAAGCATCAACCATGTAGTCAATATATGAGAGCGGATAGTTGTTCTTTGGGCAGTCCTTATTCATGTCGGTAAAGTCCATGCAACGGGGCCATCGATTGTTTCTCTTATTGACATTGGAGACCCACATTAGATAACGGGTTTCTCAGACAAATTGGTTGTCGACTAGTTTGATCATTTCTTCTTCCAAAGCCTGTTTTCGGTCCGAATTGAGATTTCTCATATTTCTGCATGATGGGCTTGACTGTTTTATCAATTTGAGGTTTATGGCAAGTTACCCTTGGATTGATGTCGACCATATCTTAGTGGGTCCATGATGAACACATTGACATTTTCTTTCAAGAACGTGATGAGCTCGGAACGGATTGGCTACTTCAGAATTTTCCCAATGTAGACAAGCTCGTCTACATATATCAACTTTATATCTTATATGGTTTCAACACGATCTTTTTTCCTTGAGTTCATCACGATGATCTAATTCGTCTTCCTCATTCATTGGTTCCTTCCCTGGTCTTCTTCCTTTATCCCAGTTAGGTCGTCACCAGGGGGCAACATATCACTTAAGCCACTCCCGACTCCAGTAGGTAGATCAACTGCTGATTGACCCTCTGCAACGGGGTTGATCATCAGGACATCCCTGTGGAATCTGCTTATGCAACATATGTTCGAGCATCACAAACTCTCTTTGTCTTCCTTCCACCTCACTTGACCTTGTCTCTGTGTTATTCTGAGCCACATGGATCAACAAGGATGGTATGGCCATGATAAATTCACGGGCAGCTTGTTGATTTACATAATGAATCCCCATGCCTTGGGGTGTTGGATAAGAGAATAATTGAAAATGGATACTGCAACGCAAAGTTTATACAAATTTCTTCTTCCTAGAATTGTGTTGTACTAGTTCTTGCAGTTGAAGAGCATAAACGTCTCTAGGATCATTTGTCAATTGGCCTATCATAGCAAAATAGTATGGGCAATGTAATTCTTCCCTCCGGGGGCATTATTTGGCCATCACACATTGGATCTAACCGTTGTATGTTTGAAATTCTTTGATGTCGATTTCCATCTTTTGAAAAGCGCCCAGGTACAGTACACTAGCATAGGCTCTAGTGTTGACAAGAATCCTGTGAACTAGGATGTAGCAGATCGACGTGGTAATATGACTAACACGTCTGAATGAGGATGATCGAAGTGTACAAATTATTCATCCATGAAGATGATCAGATTCGGTTGAACGACAACGGAAGGTCCAAGAGAGTTCGTCTCTGGTGGTCAGAGTTATACGCTCTCCTAGTGTATGCCATAAGTTGCTTGTGGAACTCGACTAGTTCAACTAGGCTGGTATTTATGAGTCTGATTAGGGAAGTCTCTGTGGAGCGCAATCTGTGTTGAAGAAAGATGGATTAGTGGGGTGAAATATGAACTCATCTTTTCTATTGGGAAGAACTTGCTTCATCCTCCCATTTTTGGCTAATATGTTAGAATTTCCTTTGGTGGCTCTCTGGCCCTCTTCGAATTTACTTTAATATCACGTGCGTCGTTTCTATATAGAAGGTCTTCAGACTCTCTTCCTTCCCTCCAGATTTCGGCTGAATTTCTAGACACTTATAGGTATTGTGTCAATAGGATCTGTGTTATTCATTACTGATTTTTCTTCAACTGGTCTTCATTTTTCTCTAATGAATCTCAGATCTGGTATGATTTTCTTATTCTTCATTTCTTCATAAACCACAGTTTTCCCAGCAAAGTAGAGCTCGCGATAGTTGGCAGCCATCTCTTCCTGTTGTTCTTACATAACACTCGAACCTGTGTTGTTTGTAATTCCCTTGTTGGGCCATGCTTTGGCTTGGAATATTTTATCTTGAAAAGGCCAAACTGTTTGGCATATCAAATGACGGGTTGGACATTGATTCTTCAGCAATCACATACTATTGGGCCCACGCTAGAAATATGATAGGTATGCGGCTTGTTCTTTCATAAGGACCAAATGAACATGTATTTTTGTTGAAATTTGATACTTGACCAACAAGTATCCAGAGTTGCACGAAGATAGAACAAACAGACAGTAATGAAGATTCAAACAATTGCGGAAGCAGTTTTTTTTTTTTAAAAAAAATGAACCTTTAGGAGAGCGTCCCACTCTCCCTTCAGATCTCTTTCATTAATGTGAACAACTCATACATCATCCAAGGATTTACAGTAAAGACTCCCTCTACACTCTACTTGAATAATGATCCACACAACTACTTATCTGACCACAACTCCCTTGTGGATTTTCTAGTTCGAATCCCTCAAACTAAATCACAATGAACCTCCGAGCATTCTGTTCCAAAAACTTATGTGTTCTTAATATCACTCTTTATCACTCAAGGAAAAAAAAACATAAAACTCAAAAATTTCGGATTGAAAAAATCGTCTTCAACTCCCGTCTCGTCCTCCTTTTATCTTCAGCATTTTGATAAGTCTTTGAGACCAAGCCAACCATGTATATGGAAAGTGAATCCTGCGATCCTCCTTCTCTTTAGACTATGGAAAGTGTATCTCGCTCTCAATCCCAAGGTCCTTCCAAAATGATAATACAAATAATTAGTCCATTTGACTTAAATAAAACCAAATCTTATTCATACCAAAAATAAACTTCCCTTAAATACTCTCGCATGTTTCTGGATCCTGTGATCGTCAGAAGGTTCATCGATTTACTGCCAATAACCAGAATTTACAATCTCCCCCTTTGACAGATAAATCGAAAACCATTTTCTTGAACCTGCAAGATGAAATACATATTCTGCACTGCATATAGATCAACCACAAAATATCTAATAACAATTCGCACGTGTTGTTCATAAGAGCATCTCGAATACCTGAATAAATTAGAACAAATCACAGGATACTAAAAAAAGTTCATCACATGCAAAAGGAAGAAGAAACAGAAAATAAAGGAGTTCAGCAAAGACACAAATTAAGAAGTTTTTTAACAAAAGACAAATGAAAGTCCTGCTGAGAGATGGCTATGCAGATTCTTCCTCGTCAGATTCCGCCCCTAAACCTTCTTCAGCACCATCCTCAGTCTCTTCCTCTGAGACTGCTTCCTCTTCCTCATCCTCAGCATCAGACCCAGCTTCTTCATCCTCTTCTTCTTCTGAACCTTCATCTTCTTCCACATCCTTCTCCTTTCC